CTGATGAAAAGTCAGGTGAAATGCTTTCACATGCAGATCAGTCAAGGGAAGAGACAATTATTGCAGGAAACAGTCAGAGCAATCACTGCCATTCCAGTTCCTACAACACATAAAGCATTGCAACTATTTTTGAAAAACATAAATCATTGCAAAAGAGTTTATACATGGTTTCGCAGAGAAAGTTAAGCCATTATATCATCTTTTGAAGAGTAAAAATAACTTAGTTGACCAATGGGGTCCAAATGAGAATAATGCTTTAAAAGTGTGTGAAAAAGGATTTGCAGAATGCGCCAGCATTAGGTACTATTAAGGTTTGTTCCAATGCTCCTTTTGTTGTGAAAACTCATGTATCTGAGAATGCAATTTCAGTAACTTTGTCTCAATTAAAAGAAGGTAATGAGAGACTAATTAGTTTACTTCTCCAGAGATTTATCACCATTGGAAAGAACTTTGACATCAGAGGCACAACAACTGTTGAGTTTCTTTTATGCAATCAAAGCATCAGAAAGCACAGTAAAGTCACATAGTATCATATTACAGTCTCCTGACAGTTCATTAAGAAGAATTCTTGAGGAAGATACATTCAGAGAATGCCGTGAAAAGTATCCTCAGTGGATAAGAGCACTGTTAGCCAAACACATTGTGATAGGTACAGCTGCATCAGACAAGTCTCTACCTCACATTCACAGCAACACATGCAGTAATGAAGAACACTCTAACACTAGAGTAATGACATCAGCACAGAAAACAGCTACGCATATTTCTAATATTATAGGGATGAGAACAAAGGCATAAACCTTTGTCATCTCTGGGGTGATACAAAACCTTTCTTTGTTTAATAAAACAGGGTTTTGCGGTCATGACCTATGATGAAATATTGCGTCCTGTCATACCTAAATCTCACACTACTTTTGTATTCTAGTTTAGGTAATCTTAGACAGGATTAGGACAGTATTTTGATTGATATATAGAAGTTTTCTGTAAAAGGAAATAGGAAGTAATGATACTTCACAATATGTGTTTCAAACTCATACACTGATTGTTCCATAATCTTCCATAATCTTTCATATTTGTTGAAATAGGTGCAAGACTAATGCAATGTTTGTGCCAAAGTAATGATACTGCATTTCTTTACAGAAATGACATCTAAAATCAAATATGAAGCGTAACAATCTCCTACAAGCCAACTTTAAGGAATTTGGACGTTAAAGAAGATTGAACAAGAACTCAATACTTCACACTTGTGACTGATTTATCGCGTTCAACAAAAATGTTTCTACTTTACAGAACTTAAAGAAGATATTATATAGACATTGCATGAAGAAAAGATTCATCAAGAGGAAATCTATTTATTGATGATAAAATAATTTATTATTGATAATATTGTTATAGGTCACATATACATTTTAATGATCCTTTTATTCTGATACTTACATCCATATTGGGATAATATTATTATTATTTTTTACATATTCATATATGGAATATTTTTTGGTTAAAACTTCATAGAGTTATTCCAGTTATTAGAATATCTTTTGTTAAAAGATTCAAGAAATATATTACTCTTATAGGAGCAATATAAACTTATGACACATTGTAGAATGGAAAGTATATTTCCGGAGCGTTAAAATATTATACAAATATGGAAATATACTACATTAATTATTATTACATCATTTAATTATTTTTATTATTATTATTATTATTACTATATTATCATATATCAATTAACATTATGATTAAGAATTTTAGGAAGAGAAACTGAAAGATTAGGTATAGAGTTTTGAAGGAAAGTTATTTTTGATTGGTCCAGTTATGAAGAATATATACGATCATTTGGTATAAGACGGTGTGTATGGGACATGAATGAAGTGTGCATTGATTTGGCATTAATTTTAGACTAATCATAATAAGGGGGAAATGTTAAATCTAAATTATGATTCGGCACTTATATTGATGGCAAGCTTGCAAAATATTTGGTTTTTATGATTAGTCATAATTAATATTAATATATGTAAGTGGTCTGTGACAAATGGTAGTATTTACTATTCTTCAGTTATAGCTGAGACCAAAAGATATACAAGTTAAGCTGAAATAGTATATACCAGTTGAAAGTTGAGTAGACTATATTTAGAGATAGTTGGTTAAAAGTATTTGGTAGTTATGTCAAGGTTATTAGAAGTGACTTACTATTACATTACGTATTTTCTGTGTATATTTAGTATACGTCTCTAACACTGATACATATATAGTTTAGTGATTATACATTGATATGTTCTTAAGCTATACTATCTTTTAAATATATAGCTAAGGGTTACATCATTGGTACATCAGCATACATATGTTCCTGTCCATCAAACATCATATGTTTAGCATCTTTCCCTTTTATGAAATAGCTTTGCTAAGCAGTAATACTTTCCATAGAAGGTATTATGATCACTAACTATGACGTACATTTGCCTCATAAAAGACCATCGGAACGGACACACACTCACGCTCACACACACTCTCTCTGATACACACAAGCAACATGACTCTTGCAAACACACGTCTGAGAAGCTGCAACAGGTGCTGCAAGACAAGAGATCATCATTAACGTCACTTCCGTCTTCTCTCTCGGACTTTGAGTTGGACAAGGACATGAGAATCGCACATGGCAAGAACAGCCATGACAGATAATGGTGACTTTTTCTTTGAACTTTCGCTTGTCAGTTTTACAGTAGTTTCATCTAGATGGAACTGTTCATAATACGCTTTACATTGTTTATTTGACACCATTGGAGAAACCATGAAATGTTACTGGCCTGTGATTGGCTCTCCTATTGTTAGTGAAGTAAGTGAGACTCCCCTTGTTGGTGTCATTACTGGAATTTCAGAAACCATGTGAAATGTTTCTTCCAAATCCAAAAAAAGGTGATCCCCTTGGGTAAGTACCCATCCTACTATTCCTGATATGAGTTTGTAGTCCCTGCTACTACAGGAAACATGTGGGCAATCATTTACACCTTTTACAGCAGGACAGTAAATATCAGAACACAATTCAAACAGAAGACCAACAGCAGGAAGTCTGCTAACTGAATGTGTAATGCAATCTGTCATTAGCATTCCCAGAGTTCCCTCTGCAACATAGTTGTATCAGCTGTTGGTCCTGTCTGTAGATCTGTTATTTCCCCACCTTCTGTAACAGGGTGACAACCCTGATCATTCTGCAGGAACATTACACAGCAGCGTTGTCACCCTGTACAGGGAAGTCTTAGATAGATTATAAGTAAGACACACAACAAGTAAAGTCCAACTCCAGCTAACGCTTCTACAGCAGTTACAGCAACAGGATTTCTATAAGGTTCAACCCACCATATGAATGGAAGATGACAGTTGTAAGCACCCCCAGCAGTGTTATATGGTGTTTCCCAACCCCCCCCCCCCCCCCCCCCCCAACTTTCATTTTTGCCAAATAGCTTGGCCTTTACTACAGGAAGCAGAAAAAAACAGATCTACTGGGAGGGTCAACAGGTAATAAAAATGTTACAAGGGGAGACTTGGAAAAACATAAAACATTTATGCTAATGACAGATTGCACCATTTATGTAATTATTGATTTTGCCCATTGTTACACTTTAGTGCCGATGTCTTAGCATTTCCAGGAATAATTAGCGCTCTTTGCACACTTTGCCCCAAAAAGGGACCCGTTCATTCAGAGTCATTAAGGTGAACCCCAATAAGAGGAAATTTCAGTCTCCCAGAAGAAGTGGTAGGAATATGACCGCACACTTAGCACTTTGTAAGTTCAGATCTCTTGCAGTTGTACCGTGTGAATAGTTTATGGAGATGAGCAATAGCTGGACAAAAAAAAAAATAACAATGACATCCAATCTTCACCTGATAGAATCCTTTTGAGAAAACCAGATGAAACATAAGTGGCCAGCTGGGATTAGGTGGTACTGTTGAATATGTCCCCTAAAACAGCATTAACTCCGTGTTGGAAGGCCTACACCAGCTTAAGAAGTTACTCTCTAACCAAACAGAGACCTCTATCTGGCTGGTATCTCAGCTACAGACCTGCCTGCAAAGCTGTCATCCATGAGAGGAGATGGAACATGGAAAGGAGGCATTGATCATGGAGAGAGGAGGTGGTACATGTAATGGGAGGTGTGGACAAGGTGGGCTTAGCTGGAGCCCTCAAGCCTAGCTTATGGTGTATCAATTCTCAAAAGAACCTGGAATGGACTCTCCTAATGAGGTTTCAGAGGCTTGGCAAGAAGCCATTGGACCCCATCCTAGACTCTGGTACTGAGGCATTGTTGGTCATGTATTGGTTGGTCAGATTCTGGCAATGAAGAAAACACATGGGAACATAGCTCAGTTAGTGAATGATGAAAATGAATTACATGTTCAGTCAATGCTCCATAAAAAAGGATAAAGATGAGAATGATGAGGAATACAGTTCAGTCATTGCTGCTTGTCTGAAAAAATGTCCAAGGTAAAATATTCACAGGCCTTCTAGTGTGTGTTTCTGATGGACATAAGCACTAAAACCAATGAATCCGATCATTAGAGTCCTGTTTCTTCAAAGTTTTTTTTTTAATTAAGTAGCATCATGTCTTCCTTAGTTTGTGTGAAGACATTGGGCCTGTGTGAACCTAATGGGACAGCTGTGACTTCTTTAATATTGCCCCTTCTTCTGGAGTTTCCTCTATGCAGCTCAAGCTTGTGAATCCTCTGGTGATAGATTAGCCTGGAATTACCTGTAAAAGCTTTGTCACATTTCTGAACATTAATATGGCTTCTCTCCAGTGTGAACCCTCTCATGTATGACAAGGTTTCCTCTCCGTTTAAAAGTTTTATCACATTCAGAACACTGATATGGACTTCTCTCCAGTGTGAACCTCTGGTGTCTGTTAAGATGTGACTTCTGTGTAAAAGTTTTATCACATTCAGAACACTGATATGGTTTCTCTCCAGTGTGAATCCTCTCATGTATGTTAAGGTTTCCCCTCTGTTTAAATGTTTTTGTCACATTCAGAACATTGATATGGCTTCTCTCCAGTGTGAATCCTCTGGTGTGTGTGTAAGACTTGACTTCTGTGTAAAAGTTTTATCACATTCAGAACACTGATATGGCTCTCTCTCCAGTGTAAATCCTCTGGTGTGTGATTATGACTTATGTGTAAAAGCTTTGTCACATTCAGAACATTGATATGGTTTCTCTCCAGTGTGGATCCTCTGGTGTGTGATAAGATCTGACTTCCTGTGTAAAAGCTTTGTCACATTCAGAAACTGATATTTGTAAAAGCTTTGTCACATTCAGAACACTGATATAACTTCTCTCCAGTGTGAATCCTCTGGTGTATGATAAGATATGACTTATTTGTAAAAGCTTTGTCACATTCAGAACACTGATATGGCTTCTCTCCAGTGTGAATCCTCTGGTGTGATATAAGATCTGACTTATGTGTAAAAGCTTTGTCACATTCAGAACACTGATATGGTTTCTCTCCAGTGTGCATCCTCTGGTGTCTGATAAGAGATGACTTGTCTGTAAAAGCTTTGTCACATTCAGAACACTGATATGGCTTCTCTCCAGTGTGAATCCTCTGGTGTCTGATAAGAGATGACTTCCGTGTAAAAGCTTTGTCACATTCAGAACACTGATATGACTTCTCTCCAGTGTGAATCCTCTGGTGTATGATAAGATGTGACTTCCATGTAAAAGCTTTGTCACATTCAGAACACTGATATGGCTTCTCTCCAGTGTGAACCTTCTGGTGTGTGATATGTTTTGCCTCCATTGTAAAATCTTTGTCACGTTCCAAACAAGAAATAGCTTGAAATGACTCCTCTTATGTATACATGGGTTGGACTTTACTGTAAAGCAATTGTCACATCCAGAACACTGAAATGACTTTTCTCATGTTGTCCTCTGAGGTTGGATCAGTGTTGAAGAGGACCCAAAGCACTTATGACATTTAGAACACGGATATGACTTGTGTCCTGTGTGACTCCTCCAGTGAACTGCAATAAAAACTTTCAGTCAATTACAACACCCAGATGTTTGGTTTCCCATGTGACTGAGTTGTATTCACAAACACCAGCATGACCGAAAACGTGGCTCATCAATCCACCTGTACAAAAAAAAAAAAAAAATCAGAATTCTATATAAAGGTCTAAAGTTGGTTTTTATTTTTTTTAATTATCATTAATAAATATATCTTATATCATCGCAGGCTGTGTCAGCATTATGGTTGTCCTCAAAGGGCCAGTTGTAACTGTAAGACTAGATGTCCAGAGCACCTCACCCCCCCATTACATCAGATGCCAAGAACCCCCACACCCACCCTAACATCACCGTGCACCTCCTTTGGGGGCAGAGCTGGAAAGCAGAAAGTGCAGGGTCTGGAGGAGGACCAGAGGAGGAGTGGAGTCAATTACCAGAGTCTGCTGAATGCTGAGACCAAGGGAGGTGGAGATGAGGGGATGCTGCAGCTGCACTGAGAGGTGCAGGATTTGGCAGAGGAGTTCTTTCTCTTCTCTGCTGCCAACTGCTGAGACAAGGTGGGGGAGGAGACAAGGGGGTACCTGCAGGAGAGGTACAAGGGCCACATGAAATAACTTAGAGGGCAGGATCTGGATACAGGTGTGTTTGACACCTGTGTTATATATATAGAAAGCATATGTACATTATCATTTGTATATATATATATATATATAAAATATTTTACCCACGTGCTGACAACCTGTAGTGGGTGACCTCAGTTTCATCAAAAGTACAAGACCCTATCCTACAAGCCAAATTACCCCCCCCCTCCACCCTACTGTATACATTTCCAATGCATACCTTTGACTCACTTGCCCCCCGCTCTCTGCTGCTCGGTAGCTGAGGTTATATATCATGGACCTGCCAGTGCTGTGATTCCAATATGCTGAATAGGGGCTTGAGACCAGATATGCCTTTAATGTTCCTGCGTTTGCATGTCCTCATTTTTCCCATTTTCTTTTCCCTGGGATGACTTACGTCTGATTCTTTGCCTATGTATTGCTATGTATTTTTTTGTTTGCTGTATGTGTATTACCTCCTATTGCATTTCCGACTGATACCTTGTATTACCTGGACCTATTGTATGCTCTGAGTTTTATTAATAAACTTTAATTTCAGAAAAAAAAATATTTTATTTTTTTTTTTCCATAAACTAAATTGTATTGTTTAAGTTTTTAAGTGCACACAGTATATCCAACATTCAGCCCAGACAATGGAGTCATACATTCTAATGTATAAGCAGTTGTGGCAATGTTACAGATCATACAGAACAATAACTTGAGTTTTGTCTCTGGTTTCACTTTTACCTTCAATGTCGCAAATGCACTAATACGGCTACAATCACCTCAAACAACCTTTCAATAAACAAAAAAAAAGAGAAAAAAGAAGCAACGTAGAACAATTCACCTGTACATGGCAAGTAACTCTCTCCAGTACATACATAGAGAGCTGACGATCCGTTCAAGTAGGCCTGTGTCTACAGGATCATACACCAAGTATCGGGCCTCCAATGTAGTTACCATTTAGTAGGGTACAGTTGGCTGGACCATTTTTAGGGGCCTAAAAAAGTTAAAACCTATAAAAAAGCTATGACAAATGAAGTATGGGGAGTGAGTACCTTTGGGGGAGTATCCAGCCAGTTCTGCCAGAGAGCCATAAGTCTCCTAGGAGAAGTTATGTTTTCATGTATTAACCACTTGCCACCCTGCCACTGCATATATACGTGTGCAGGGCGGCACTGGATAATGCGCAAAACACGTTTTTAAAACATGGGGCTCCGCGCTCCCGACATTTTCGTGGGCAGGGGGCGCGCACAATCCGCCGACCCTCGGGGGACACCATTTGATCCCGGAGGGATCAATCATTCAATTTCAGCCAGTGATGTCTGGCTGAAATCAGATGATCGGTCCCTGTCCTATCCTGTCCTGTGTTGACATTTACACAGGACAGGAACATGATGTCATTCTCTCTGCCTGGACACATTCCGTTACAGCCAGAGAAGAAGACATACAAATTGTGAGTAAAACAGCACATACCCACAGTTAGAACACTCTAGGACACATTTAACCCCCTAATCGCCCCCCCCCAGTTAACCTCTTCACTGCTCTTTTGTCACCAGTGTCATCTGATCAGTGAACCGATTTTTTTACTGATCACTTAATCAGTGTCGCTGGTTGACTTCCAATAGTGTTAGCGCCCCTCTGTATAGCGCCAGTTTGTCCACCAGTAATTTTTTTTTAAACCCCTTGATCGCCCCCCCCCCCCAGTTTTTAAGTGCACCTTCACATTCCCTGTCACCAGTGTCATTGATTACAGTGAACAATTTTTACTGATCACTGAACAATACTTGTGTCTCTGGTGACTTCCAATAGTGTTAGCGCCCCTCCCAGATAGTGCCAGTTTGCCCGCTAATGCACGCGAAGAGAAAAAACATGGAGCAGAATACATTTTGGCTTAAATTTATGACTAACTTTGAGTTTACGATATATTTTTTATAGCTGAAGTAGAAAATATTGCTTTTTTTCAAATTTGTCGTGGTTTTTTTTGTTTATAGCGCAAAAAATAAAATGCGACTCCAGGTGATCAAATATCACCAAAAGAAATCTCTATTGTCACCATTTGTGAAAAAAAGGACGTAAATTTTGTTTGGGTGCTAAAAAATTGCATGACCGCGCAATGACAAGTTGAATTAGTGCAGTGAGTACCGGAGTATCCAAAAGTTCTGCCAGTGGCCATTAAGGGGGGTAAATCCTAGGAGAAGTCAAGTTTGCATGTAATATGGAGTTCACCTGCTCAATCCATGCCTGGTGGGAGTATGAGTTGATAACCAGAATGCTTGGATTCGATTTGCAGGTTCGTTCAGAAAGTACATCTAAGGATCCAAAAATTACAAGCTTAATCTCTACTAGGGAGAGACTTTGTTCAATTAAAAGAAAAACTTCAAAGACAAGTGAGAAAATGTAAATGAGAGCAGCTGAGAGAAGAGCTAAAAACACTAAAAATACCCCCACAGATCTATCCTAGAAATTCAGTCTAAAATGTAACAATTACACCAAGAAAACCCTCAACTGAGAGAAGAGATAATGACACCAAAGATACAAATGGAGCTCAACAATCAGGAAAGAGAATCAAAGAGGATGATTTATACAAAGTACCCATCAAGGAACAACAGACCGGTGAGACCAATCAGCTTCCGAAATGTAACAAGACAAAGACCAGCAATAGCCAAGACAACTCTACTAATCCTGAGACCACAAATAGTGATGGCCGAACACCCCCCTGTTCAGGTCGCGGTCAAACATCCGAACCTACAGAATGTTCTACAGTGAATGTCGAACACGAAGAACTGAGAGGTGTCTTACCGCATCTGAGTATGAAGATACCGCTCAGTTACTAACATCCGGCATGAGTTCTATGATGAAGTCACGCGGTATTTTAGTAGTGAGACATTCATTCATGTTCCTGGTGTCAGTGGGGTTCCCTTTGAGAGGAACCC